TTTCTAGAGTAATTTTATGAGTCAGGAGCCTTCAATGATGGCATAGAATCAGCAATAGTCAAAGAATCAGGTTCAATGTCATATGTTAACTTTAGCGCCATTGGGATGGTAAAGAATTCAGTTTTCAGTGTAGATACCCATTTATTTTTATGCCTAAATCATCATGGTGGCTATAGTTGTTATCAATGGAGGTGGCAACAAGAGCAGATGCAGCTCTACCAGTAGACTCTTGCGTAGATCCAACTCTACATTAAAGAGAGAAATATCACTAAACATAATCCTTCTCGGTAAGACGTTGGTGTGATTCATTCGCGTGAAAATAACCACTTGCGGAGACAAACACCTCAACTACTTCTATGTATAGATACATACAGCAGAATTAATGCACCAATGTATATAAATACACAAGCACAATGTATTAATACACAAGTATAATGATTAACACACCAGTATTTTGCATTAATACACCAGTATAACGTAGGAATACACTAGTATACATTAATACACCAAAAACTGTATTAAGACACCAGCATGTATTAATACACTAGTATAATGTATTAATATATTAATGTACAAATACATCATAATGAAGCGACATACCAGTATATATTTTTACACCAGTATGCCTTACTAAATCGGTACATTGTATTAATACACCAGAATATTGTATTAACACCCGAGAATAATATATTAACACCGCAGTATAATGTATAAATACACCAGTATCATGTATTAATTCACCAGTTTAATATATAAATATTTATGTAATGTATGAGAGCATATTATTAATAATAATAATATGCTCCTGTGAAAGTACGACTTTCAGAACCAGCTGAAGTACGACTTTCAAAACCAGCTGAAGTACGACTTTCAGAACCAGCTGAAGTACGACTTTCAGAACCAGCTGAAGTACGACTTTCAGAACCAGCTGAAGTACGACTTTCAGAACCAGCTGAAGTACGACTTTCAGAACCAGCTGAAGTACGCTTTCAGAACCAGCTGAAGTACGACTTTCAGAACCAGCTGAAGTACGACTTTCAGAACCAGCTGAAGTACGACTTTCAGAACCAGCTGAAGTACTCTTTCAGCTTTTAACCTGTAGATGAGCCGAGGTAAAAAAAAAAAAGTAAGGTCAGTTATGTAACACTGAGTCAAGGAACACTAGGTCCAGGAAAGCCGGGAGCTCAACTTAGTGCTCTTAAGAGCCCGAGGCTCACTAAAGAATGTCCACACTGGACTGCTATGTAAGGGTTAGTCCTATCGACTCGACGAGGCTCATTAAGGCCACAATTCACTCGTACAATAACATCAAGATTACTTTAATCCCCAAACTAGAGATTAAAGTAATCTCTTTAGTGCATATACACCGAGACGTACATTCCGGTTATATATATATATGTGTGTGTGTGTGTGTATTAGTGGGATAGTTCATGTCTGCTCGACATAGTTAACTGGATAATGGCAAACTATTAGTGTTCAGTGCACTGTGCGTGTAGAAATAGTTCATTTGTTGAGTGTTGAGCAGTGAGCGTCAGGTGGTGGTAGACAGCTGCGACAACTATCATCATCGTGGTGAAGTAACTCTCCAAGTGTTCGTGGCTCTCCCTTATCAAAAAATTTTTCTTCCGCTCTGATTCTTTAGTGAAGTAATTAATAGTAATCACTACCTGCTTTGTCAACGGAGAAACAGACTGATAGATAGATAGTTATGCATACAATAACTACATAAATTTTTACCTCTTACAGAGTAAACATCTCACTTGTATCTCTATCCTGCCACTATCCCACTCCTCTCCCACTAACCCCTTCCCTTTACACTAACCCATTCCCCTCCCGCTAATCTCCTCTCATCTCACTAACCTTCTCCCCTCCTACTAGTGTCCCTGGCTAAAACAGTTATTCTTTTTCTTAGGCTCTCATTTCCTCATCCTCCATCTCCGACTTCCTTGGTCCCCATCTCCTACTTCCCCATTCCCCATCACCGTGGGTCACTACAATGGGTCTCTCTCTCACAGATTGTTCGGGACGACGGGTCACTGTGCTGCGTGCAACAAAGTCATACCAGCCTTCGAGATGGTCATGCGAGCGAAAACCAACGTTTACCACTTGGAGTGTTTCGCCTGCCAACAGTGTAACCACAGGTGGGTGCTGTCACGGATATGTGGAGCCACAGGTGGGTGCTGTCACGGATGGGTGGAGCCACAGGTGGGTGCTGTCACGGATGGGTGGAGCCCCAGGTGGGTGCTGTCACGGATGGGTGGAGCCACATACTGGATCAGTTTCGTTTAACGCTGAAAGCAGCGTTCATCTTTCAGTGTAAGGATTAGTATAGACTCGATCCTACGTCACGCTAACTATACTTAGGTGTACACACAAAATACCTACCTGTGTGAACACCTGAGTTACTTATCTCAGGTGTACACACAGGCGTTAAGAAGGTTAATGAAATATCGAACAATCAGTATATGTCATCATGATTCTAGTGGTTACAGCAGTTCCTGGTGTAGTTGTGAGAGCTACACCTGCTCCTCACAGGTGTGGAGAGCAGGTGTGTACTTGAGGTCGACGCAGGTGTTAGGAAGGGCAGCTGTTATGGTAGGTGTTCCTCCATTCTTATGTACATCACGTGAGTACCCAGCAGCCATACTGTGATTGTTATATTAATAAGGCAGGTACAGTACATGCTCTTAATGGTGATACGTTTACCCCAGGTGTAGAGCTTTATCACAACTTCCCTCCCTCCCTCACCTCTCCTCTCTCCTCATTCCCTTACCTCACCTCTCCTCTCTCCTCATTCCCTTACCTCACCTCTCCTCTCTCCTCATTCCCTTACCTCTCCTCTCCACTCCCCTCATTCCCTCACCTCTCCTCTTACCTCTCCCCTCCCTCTCTCCCTCATTCCTTCACCTCGCCTCTCCCTTCATTCCCTCACCTCTCCCCTCTCTCCCTCCGTCATCTCTCCCTCCGTCATCTCTCCCCTCATTCTTTCACCTCCCTTCATTCCCTCACTTCTCCTCTCCCCTCGCCTCCATTCCTCACCTCCACACTTCCTTTCCTTCTCCTCTCCCTCCCTCATCTCTCCCCTCATTGTATGGCTTGACGTATTATGAAATCAGAGTTGTGTACCTCTTCGAAATGCGGGTAGTGAGGGGATAAGGAGGGGAGGGGATAGGAAGGGGGATGGTTATGAAGATGGGAATAAGAGCAGGGAAAATTCACGAAGTAATAAAAATGTGAAGGGGAGGAGATAGTAAATGTGGGAGGCAGAAAGATGGTGGGAAGGGGAGAAGAAAGGATGAAAATGGAGAAGGGAAGAAGAAGAACGACTAATTTGGGGAAAGGAAGGAGAAAAAAAAGATTAAGGGGGGAAAAGAGAAGTGTGGGGAAAGGAACTGGAGTGTCTTACACTGGATATAACATTCCAGCAGGTACTGGAGTGTCTTACACATTTTTCCCTGGATACAGCCCACAACAGTGGGCTAACTCACACAGGCACTTATTTTTACTGCTAGGTGGGCAGAGGTATGAGGGAATTGAACCCTAGACCTTGCAATTGTAAGTCAAATGCTCTCACCAGTGAGCTATATGGCACCTCAGGAGGGAAGATGTGAGAGTATTTCATCTCTCTCTCTCTCTCTCTCTTTCTCTGTATTAATGAATGGGAAACAAGTATGAGCAATGATTAATCTAAGAAATGGGAACGGAGGAAAAAATCAATAACAGAACTGAAGCTCAGACCAAGAAATGGAAATTGAAAGCGAATCCGAGAACGGGGAAGTGCAGTGGAAGACTGGGGGCGGTGGAGAGCCAGATGTAAGCTCCCTTTATAAGAGCCGGACACCGGCACTTCCTAGCGACAGTGACGCCAACTCCGGCACAAGTTTTGATACCGGGGGACCGGGAGGAGGCTGCTGGGGGAGGGGGAGGGGGATTGGATGCAGGAGGGAGATGGAGAACGACTGGGTTTAGGGACCGAGGTAGGTGGGTGGGTGGATGGGTTAGTTCTGGGAGTCGGGTGGGTGGGTGGGTCAGTGGGGGTGGGGGAGGGCATATAACAAGGCTGCAACACACCCCACCGCCCACCACTGTTAATATAAACCGTCAGCCCACCGCTCCGTCTTGTAACACCGAGACGAAATGCAAATCATTCAATTTTCCCCCCGCTTCTCAATATTGCATACACAAGCAAACTGCCATCTGGTGCCATCGCGCGCAACTAAAGCCGCGTGCGAATCCCACCACCTGACTCCGGATTCCCCCTCTCGTGTTTGCCTATTTCCGGAGAGAAACGCCAAAAGCTTCTTCCTATATAACCAAAACCAGCTTTTCAATCCGGAGTAAGTAGTTCCGATCGTTCAATCGCAATGGATTCGGCGGTTTAGCGGTAAATTCGCCCGGTTATTTGATTCCATCCGGTGAATTCGGACGAAGTGAGAATTACACCTGACGAGTTATATTGGAGATTTGGGACGCGGAGCGCGGGAAATGTTCACAAGATTCAAGTGTTGGGATATATATTGGTAGCATGTGGGAGCGTTTTTCACAACCACCTTAAAAATGGTTACGAATCTTCTTCAAAAACTTCTTCATTTTCCCCTAGCGCCATCAGTGAAAGAGGAGGGAGGAGAGAGAGAGAGAAAGAGAGAGTGATGGCAGATAATAACTGTGATGGTCAGAAATTTGTTAAAGATGGCATCACTGGTGGGTCCTTCCACCACTGGTGGGTCTTTCCACCACTGGTGGGTCCTTCCACCACTGGTGGGTCCTTCCACCACTGGTGGGTCCTTCCACCACTGGTGGGTCTTTCCACCGCTGGTGGGTCCTGCCACCACTGGTGGGTCCTGCCACCACTGGTGGGTCCTGCCACCACTGGTGGGTCCTGCCACCACTGGTGGGTCCTGCCACCACTGGTGGGTCCTGCCACCACTGGTGGGTCCTGCCACCACTGGTGGGTCCTGCCACCACTGATGGGTCCTGCCACCACTGATGGGTCCTGCCACCACTGGTGGGTCCTGCCACTACTTGTGGGTCCTGGCAGTGCTTGGGGCCAGATGGCAGTGTCTCACAGAAAATGGAATGTCAAAGACTTTATAAATGTCTACATACATTTACTGGTGATACCTCCCCCCACCCCCGAAACACACACATACCTACCCTACTGAAGTGGTTACCGAAATTCAATCCCAGCAAATACAAGGACATAAAATCTGAGAAAGGGGAGAGAAGACAGAAAAGTAAGTACAGACTAGGGGAACCAGATGCTACAAACCTCACTCAAGAAAATAAGGGTGAGCACAGTACCGAGCATGTCGCTAGAGGTGCACATCTACCGTCTAACCTCTGCAGCGGATGCACATGTGGTTAATGCGAGATTAGCTTTTAGGAAAATGAAGTTTAGATGCCGTTTGGCTGCGTTCTGAACTGAGCGATCAACTGGGAGGAAAACCTGGGTAGGTTACTTGTGAACTGTTCCTGGTACTTCACTCTAATTTATTCTTCATTGGCATAAAGGGATGTCAAGTCTTTCTTAACCCTATATACGATATATCAGGGCCGTGGTAAAAGACACATATGCACATTATATTGATTCTTTGTTGACGACGTTTCGCCCTGTGGGCTTTATCAATTCACAGACGTGTAGACCAAACAGCAAGTTTGAAGACCAGGCAAGGATAGTCGACGACTGCAACCACAAATAGGCAAGTAAAAGTAGCTGAGTACACACAGTAGGTCTTGTGTGTCTTTTTTCACAGAGCTTACATGTAGAATAATAAGGGACGGGAGGATCTCTGGTGGATGCCGCACCTACCATACATGACGACACCTCAGCCTCACTATGATAGTCACTACGTCACACACTAGTAGAAGTTTAGGTTGCCCTGATACTTAGTGCTCTCAGGTCTCTGGGTATCTGTGTTTTCTCGTCTACCTGAGCTGGTATCCTTCAGTAGGATGGTTTTAACACTAGTAGGAAAGATGTCCAGTTGTAGCTCCACCTCCGACCTGTTACAAGCTGACCTAGCTTCTTCATTAGTGTTATCATGACAGCTGATTCCTATGTGGGAAGGTATCCAGACAAATGAGATAAGAAAGCTTTTGTCCTGAGCTTAATTCGGTCATTTTTAATGTCTATTCTGATGTTCCTGGTGTCTATCAAGTGAGAAGGATTCTGAAGTGCTTGACGAAGTCTTAGTCACAGAATATTAACCCTCTACTGTGTTTTTAATATGTTGGTGATGAGTTTCAGTGCAGCTAGCTCTGTTAGTGTTAAAGTGAGCTAGTTGTTCAGTCTGATGCTACTAGTATTTATACTCTTATTACCTGTGTGTATTCTGCAGACTGCGGCCTGTATGTAGTGTGTTGAACCAAACCATCAGTGTAAGCTTGGTCCTCACTAGACGAGACAGCAGTTTCTTGCATTGTTATCTTAAGGAGAAGTGGATTCTCAGTATTGTACTTACTGACGACAAATAGGCGAGTACAAATAAGAAGCGCATCTCTCTCTCTTTCAGCAGACGGAGGATCAAGCCTCCACCACGTCTAGAATTGAATGACCCATATGGGCTTAGCGCTTCCCATGACTTATTTATTACCTTAGTGTGAAACGTGTGTGACATGCATGTAGTGGGTGTACCTGGAGTGACTCCTGGAGTGTATAGGGAGGGATGTCACTAACAGCTGTACCGCGGCTAATAAGGATGTTCAGTTTGATTAGATTACTCCCGCCTTCAGCTAGTTGGTGAATAAACTACGAACTGTATGTTGTTGACACTGGCATGTTGTGCTTGTGGTTGGTGGGGATAGTGTGTGGTTGTGGTGGTGGTGGGAATAGTGTGGTGATGATTGTGTAGGTGGGGGCTAGCCTGGAGGTAGGTCTGGCTAGCCTGGAGGTAGGTCTGGCGAACCTGGAAGCAGGTCTAGAGGCTAGCCTGGAGACAGACCTGGAGGTAGGGCTAAATGCAGGCCTGGAGGCAGACTTCGGAGGTAGGGCTGGAGGCAGGCCTGGAAATAGGGCTGTAGGCAGGCCTGGAAATAGGGCTGTAGGCAGGCCTGGAAATAGGGCTGGAGGAAGACCTGCAGGCAGACCTGGAGGCAGACCTGGTCGCAGGGCTGGAGGCACCAATGAAAACAAGACTCCCCC